TATTTAAATATTTGTAAATTAAAAAATTGTCATTACAATTAATTTCTATGGTATTTATCAACATAAGATAAAATATGTAATTAAAAATTTTAAATAATCAACCAATCTGAGGTTCAACTGATTAAGGCACCTAATCTTTGATCGTAAGATTGTGAGTTCAAATCTACTACACAAGAAGTAAAATAATCGAAACATTTATTAGATGGTTAAATTAAAACTAAGGGTGCATTTGATTGGTGATCTAGACACATAAATTTGAAAACAATAGATTTAATAAAAATATAGTTGTATTATTTGTTTTTTGTCTTTTCCATTTGTATTTGTTAGCAGTTTTGAAAATTGAATCTCAATTTAAAAATTGTTGAAACCTTTGTTTAGTAATATATTTATAAACTAGTGGTAAGTTACCAATTAAATATTGTGTTAATCACAATAATACTAATCAATATATTATATTACTTTATAATATTATATATTATATAATATATTTATTTTAATTTTAGTAAAAATTAGGTGAATTTATAAAATGAAATCATATATTTATGAAAGTTTGATCCTTTTTAATGTAATTCTTTATTTTAAAGTTTCAAATCTGAAAAACTCCAAAATATAAAAATATGTTGTTTTAAGAATTTATACTCTTTTTCACAGGATCTGTAAACAGTTTTAAAAAACAAATATGTCAAATACGTATTTACTAAATTCATTTGATTGAGTGAATCTAAAAACAATAAACAGAATTCGGATTACATACAAACACGCTCTGAATTATTTATCTAAATTTGGAGATTAAGCCATTTGAATATTTGAAAAATAAATGTATAGTGAAAATGTTGATCTTAGTTTATGAGTTGGTGTCACGTACGTCTTCATCTCCTGGCTCAAGATTCACTTGCACATAAAAATTTAGCACCGAGTGTGTTACTTTGCCATATACATTCCAATGCCTAAATTAGAACTTGAGATGGAAGAAACAAGTATGGAGCAAGTAGAGTCAAGATGCACGAATCTTAGTGAGAGTCCGCTTGAGAGTACGTGTGTCGAGCTTTTTTATCTCGAGAGAGAGAGAGACTTAGAGTGTGGAGGGCGGTCCCAAGTGATCGTGGACACCATCGACATTCTCCTTCCTCCTCTGTTCCATAGGAAAGTAGGCACAACGGCGTTCTAGACGATCCTTTGGAGCGTATCGCAATTTGGGCATAGGGTGGTAGCACCCTGACCACTAACTGTCAAGTGTGCGCTCGGCCCCTCCAATGGGTGCGCTCGAATTTTGGGCTCAACGTGCTTGCT